TTAATAACACACACACACACACACACACACACACACACACACACACACACACACACACACATACATACACATACACCTATTTCGCATGACCAAATACTTTGTAATATATACAGGGTATTTCATTTTAAATGATATGGTCGATTATCTCGTGACCACATGTTAATCATGTGACATCATTTGTCCCCTTCACGTCACCTTATGTAATATATAAGTTTTGGAGTCAACTTTCAGGCTCAGTAAATAGAGGAGTTAGCGGTAGTGTATAGTAATGGTCTAGTATATAGTATAAATGTCTATGTGCACATCATACGATCTGAAACAGTACCAACACGAATGACTGAGGAGAGAAGTTGGAATATCTGGTAACAACCGACTTGGAAATTCTAAACAGAAACAATGAGCCTATCTTTTGCACGGCAACGGGAAAAGAGGTGCTTGACCTCACCCTTTGCTCGCGTAACTGTACGTAAAGTGGCTGAGTGTAGAGTTTCCATGAACCCTTCCTTTTCGACCACAGGTTTATAATCTTTAGGATTTCGCCTCAAGGCGAAAGTTAGGAGGATAAGAAATTCTACGTGGATGAACTGGGACTCCTACTGGAGAGAACTGGAAGTCAACCTTCCTGGTTTCCCAGGAAATATGGTACGGTGGATAAAATGCTCTGCGTAGATCATCTGTAGAAAACATTGGTAGACTCCTACGAGATGATCCTGTCCAACTAGGATAATTATAAACAACAGGGGCATTCCCTAGTGGAACCCGAAACTAGGAGCTCAGGGTCAAGGCTCGCCAGGCCTGGAAATAGAGCAAGGAACACGGACCGGCCCTCCGACTGGGCCTTCTACAGAGCGGTCCAAAAGGAGTATAGGGACTCCGTAGTTAGAGCGAGGAAGAAAAGTTGGCAGGACTTCTGTTGGTCGGTGATACCGCTAGGCTTCGTAGACTCCAATCAAAGGATTTTGACACTGAATTAGATGCAATTCGCATTGCGGATAGCATTATGCTGACTGAGGAGAGATGCCTGCTCCATCTCCTGGAAGTTAATTTTTCTCGTTTCCAAAAGAGTGTGGACAGGTATTACGAAGCGGATGAGCCTCCCCCCCCCTATAGAGCCTGGTCCGGGGGGACTGGAGGTTGGCGGCTGAGATCGTGAGACCTGACAGACTTAGGTAGGCGATCGACTCCTTCAAACCCTTCAAACTCTTTTGGCAGGACCAGATCTTATCTTTCTGATTCTTCTTCAGGAGGGGTTCGAGGTAATAATCGGGTCTCTCACAAAGATGCTGAGAGTTTGTTTGGGCCTTGGCTACATGCCGCAAGCGTGGAAATTGGCGAAAGTGATCTTCATCGCCTGGGAAAAACCAGCCACGACTCAGTTAAGGATTTTAGACCAATCAGCTTGACTTCATTTCTATTTAAGACGCTGGAGAGGCTGGTTGATGTGTATATTAGGGACTGCGTGTTGCAAGCCTTGGAGATGATTGAAAGATGATATTGCGGAAGTGGTCTGTCGATGAATCCGGAGAAGACGAGTCTCCCAACACGATGGGTAATTTTCACCAACAAATATAAGATAGGCTCCATTAAGGGACCTGTTCTTGGGGGTGTCAGGCTGGCTCCCGTGGATTCGGTCAGATATCTGGGGGTTACTCTAGACAGAAGGCTGACCACCACACCTAGCATGGCGACCACACCTGGACACATTATGCGAGAAAATCTGCACGTACTTTTGGGTGTGCAGAAGAACTTTTGGGCAGACTTGGGGGCTGCAGCCGGACATGTTTTATGACTCTACTATTCTCCGGCACAAATAGCAATTTGTAGAGCACTATGAGCATGTAGCATGAGCTGCGATCGTCTGGTGGCCAAGGATGCGTTTGGGACTCGGGCGTCGTTGGAGCGTATCAGAGCATTCATTCTCAAAGATGCTCTGAGGGCGATAAGAACCACGTTAGTGGTGGTTATGGGGCTACAGCTTGGTATAAAATCTTTCCACCTTATGGTAGTGAGCTGCTGCCACCAGTGCATATCGATTGTGAGAATAAATGGAAAGCCGGTACTAGACACACCAGGAGGGTCCCGTTAGCGCACACCAGGAGGGTCCCGTTAGCGCATAGTGCTATAGCACACATCCACATACATCAGCCGCTGCTTAGGAATTTTCCAATGGACTCCCAATTAGAAAATTTTATATTTAATTAGTTAATCAGTTGTGTGTGCTATCGGATCCCTCTCGACACACCAGGCTACCGAAAGAATTCCTGTTGGACACTGTATTTAATATGGGCCAAGACAGGATGTCGACTATACGCAACTTTAACAGATCCTTTAGAATTCATTTTCCAGATCATAGCGAATGAAGCAGGTGGCACATGGTGCCTGTTATCAGGAATGGGGACGTCTGGTATATGGATGGCTCCAAAACTGATGAAGACGTCGGTGCCGGAATCTATGGATGTCAAAATCAGGGAGGCTGCTCTTTTTGGAAATTTGGCCACCGTTTTCCAATCAGAGGTGGCGGCAATTATGATCTGTGCTCAATTGTTGATTGCCTTGGATAAGAGAGGTGAGCGCATTAGGATTCCGATAGCCGGGCGACTTTAGGAGCACTAGGCGCATACCTTCAAGTCCAATGATTGGTCTGCGAATGCAATTGGACCGTCTACTCAAAACGACATTTTCCTAGTGTGGGTCCTAGGACACGCGGGAATCAAGGGTAATGAGATCGGATGGGCTTGCTAAAGCAGGCTCAGCGTCCAAGTTAGTGAGACCGGAGCCTTGTGTCCAGTTGCATTGGGCAGAGTCAACATCAAGGACTGGCTGAATGAAAATCACATAAGCTTCTGGGAGGAGGTAACTAAGACCAAGTGTCGGCAGGCAAGGGCTTTACTAAGAAATATACCTAAAGAAGATCTTGCCAGAAGTATCAGAACATTGAAGAGGAGATTAGGCTGGCACTGCAGATCTACACAGGCCATGGCCTTACAAATTATCATATGCACAAGCTGGGACAGAAGGATACCCCCAAGTGCAGAAAGTGTGATTATAGTGAGGAGGCAAGTCTACACATTCTCTGTCAGTGCCTATGTGAGGCGAGCTGGGAACGGACTTTCTCGAGCCGGAGCAGGTTAGATAACTCTGAGTCGGCGGACTCCTTCTCTTTTAAAGAAAGACAGGGCTCGGATAAGTCGAATTGCTGGAAAGACATAATAGATTTTATCAGAGTGTTGTTTTGGCGGTTTCTCCATCTAGGAATCGTCTCCCGGGTCTATTATTATTATTATTATTGTTGTTCTTATTATTATTATTATTATTATTATTATTATTATTATTATTATTATTATTATTATTATATAGTAATCTGCAAACTACTATGCAATCATAAAATATAATAAATCATATGATATAAAAGATATTAATAACTTTTTCAAAATAAATAACTTCGAAAAATATGGCTGAAACTAATATGCCCTATTGTTTTTTTGAATGGAATAATCGTTTTCAAATATATGTATTATGTTCTATTTTCAAAGACAATAAAGATATTTTAGGTAATAAAAAACAAATCACTAACAATATATAAACTAATTATTTAAATTAAATATCGTTATACATATCAATTCCCTTTTTTACAAATATAAATTACTTACAGATGCGCCTAATAACAACTCATAATTATATGTACGTCTATAATTATTGACGTACACCATAAGCGTTAATGAAGCCGCAAGTAATAATCCAAATGCTATGGAATGATAAAGAAGTTCCTGAATAATTAAAAGAAATTATATTGATCAATATAACATTCACATCAATACATCATTATTAAAATATTTATATTTTTTCTTAACAGTTATATTTTAATATAACTTGGTTTAATATAAACTTAAAATATTATTTATTAAAATATTCAAATATATTTTAATATTGTAATATTGCAACAATGTTGCTGCAAATTATCTTTTTTTATAAATAAAATACTTATTTACAAATAAAATAAGACTACTGGAATCAATAAATTGTATGTAGAAATTTATTTATATTTGTACTTACATGTATAGTTTTAGATATAATGGACGCAGTAGAAAGAGATGTCAGACAACTGAGAAGAAGAATGAAAGTGCCAATCATAAAAGTAGTTGTTATGAGAAGAAAGAAAAGTTCTTCTTTCCGATAAGTATTATTAAATTCGTTTCCAACAATTCCTACACAAACTATTCCCAGTGCCTGTTAATAAAGATAAAAACAATTAGAAAAATATAATTGTATTAATAAGGTGTTGTAATATGTTTATTAGCACAATGTATCTAAAAATACATGTGGCGGATACTGTTATCATAGCAAGTATATCCAATTACAACGGAAAACGGAAATATAATGCAAATTGTTGATAATGCAAATATTATATATATATATATATATATATATATATATATATGTGATT